GCGTTGCTCCCGCGCCTCGCTCAGCCAGTGAGCGGGAACCGGTCTGTATGTGGGATCCGAACCCTCGGGCGGGAGCGCCGCCGCGCTTCCCAATCGGCGCACTATCCAGTGCGCCACCGGGCCGGCCCCAACATGTATGTTTTATTATAAATTCCTTTCATTTCTACTTTATACTTCAGTTAGTGCATTAGGGTGATTTGTTTGTTTGTTTGGCTTAAACAGCAGAAATTTATTCTCTCACAAGTCTGGAGGCTAGAAGTCCAAGATCAAGTGTCAGCAGCGTCAATCCCTTCTGAGGCTGTGAGAATTTGTTCTACACCTCTCCCCCAGCTTCTGGTGTTTTGCTGGCAATCTTTGGCATTCCTTGGCCAAAGAAACAATGATGTCTGTAGAAGCGTCCCCCTGATCTCTGTCTTCATCTTCACAGGGGAGTATGTTGATTTTTTTTTTAATTGTGTATAGAGAGGTTATACTATCTATGTAGTGTACAAAATTTCTGGACAGAAAAGGTGCAGGATATTTATAATCAGGCTTGTTACAATCTGTTCCATGCCTCTAAACTGCCCTGATCAATCAAGGTCACTGGTGACCTCCATGTTCTAAGTCCAGTCCCCTTCCTATGGGCCAGCTGATCACTCAGTTGATCCTCCATGAACATTTTCTCTTGGTTCCCCTATTCTGTGTCCTTTGTTGCTTCTCCTTCCTTGAGGAACTGACCTCTGAACTTGGCTGCTCCAGAGCTCCATCCTCTGACTTTACCCAGGCCCGTGGCTTTCAATATCACCTGTTTGCTGACTTTTGCATTTTCAACTCCAGCTCAGGCCTGACTCACAAACTCCAGACTTGTCCATGTACGCAGCTGGCTCCTTGCCATCTCACACTCAACACTTCCAAAGCCAGATTCCCAGCTGCAACTCCCCACCTTCCCTGCAAAAGTTAGCTCTATGAAGGCAGGGACTTCTGTCATATTGATGGCTGCACCCTCGGGGCTGAGTGCACTGCCTGGCCCAGAACAAATGCCCAATATGTGTCATTTGAGTAAACAAATAAAAATTGGCATTGGGTCCTCGGGTGGAACACCACTGCTCTAAAGTTCCAAGACTTGAGCCTAAATACTACCTGTCACCTTAGCAAGTCTCACGTTCTGTGACACTGATTTTCATGCTGTGATTCTGAGGGTGCCCCAGCACAACCTGGCCCAGCCCCCTGCCCCCGCCCACCTTCCAGGACTCACTCTCGCTCTTTGAGCAGCACCTTCTGGGACTCATCCAGCCGCAGCCGCAGGGCAGTTAACTTGGAGGCATCCTCCTCGGTGGCAGCTGTGTCCTCCCAGGGCAGCCGGCTGCGCTCCTGGCGGCCCGAGCTGCTCCGTGAGCCCCCGGCCCCCACACTGCGCACCTCCCAGCAGCCCTCGGGCTCCTCTGGTCTGCTCTTCAGTAGGCTCTCCACCAGCTCAAGCTCCTGTGGGGACCAAGGTGGAGGCTGGACCAGTGCCTGCTGAGCCCTCATCCTGGCAGCGGTCCTCATGGCCTCTCCTAGACTCTGGCTCTGGGATCAGCTTGCTGGGTAACCTTGGGCAAGTCACACAGTGCCTCTGGGCCCCAGTTTCCTCTTCTGCTGCCTGCCTGTCCATCTCTGGGGTTCCCCCTTCACCTCCTGGAACTGCACAGTCAGCCACCAGGGTTCCCTGTATCCTGGAAGATTCCCCAGGATAGGTGGTGAGCTTCTGTGAAAATATATGGTGGGACGCTGGTGGGAAGGAATCTTGAAGCAGGGATTCCTACAACAGCCTAGGACTAGATTCCCTTAAAAGGAATTCCAGCTCTAAGATCCTATTTTTCAGGAGCAAATGCTAAGGCACAGGGAGACTGGTGACATGATAAAAGATGCACCTGTGAGTAGAACCAGCTCCTAGACAAGAACCAGTGAGGAATTATTAACCCAACGCCGAGCCCTTCCTCCCTGCCAGCTTCTCCTTCCCCACTGGCCTGCCCCTGCCCCTGCCCCTCCCCAAGTCCTGTCTCTGACCACCAACCCAAGAGGGCCATGGCCTCTGTTCTAGCTTCCTCCACAGCCTTTCCAGATGAGTCTGGGCTAGCCCCTTCTCAGTCCGGCCCTCAGTTTCCCTATATGGACTGGGATGGTGGACATGAGGACTCTCTGACAAGTGAGATTCTACTCCTCCTGTATCTCAGATGATCCTGCTGGGGCACCTTGGATGCCACCTGGTCCAAAGTCCCATTTCACAAACAGGGAAACAGGAGAGAAGAGATTTGTTCTGGGTCACAGCACAGAAGTGGCTGGGCTGGAGTGCAAACTCAGACTGCAACCCCAGGGCTCTCACTGCTGTACCTGCAGCCTCCTGGGCTGTGACTGGCAACTAGAACAAGGACAGGACAGTAACAGTGCTGTGGAGCCCCAAACAAGATCAGTCAACACCATCTCCAAACACCAGGTGAACCAGGGGAGGAGGGGGCTTCAGCTACCAGGAGGCAGCAGTGCCTACTCTAGCCTACAGGGGTGGAGGGGGCTGGGCAGGAGAGAGGAGGAGACACCCAAGAGTCTTAGCTGGAGGAGCTGGCTTGTCTGGGGATTGGAGTTGGGGGCAATCAGGATCCTCCGGTAACAGGCCAGGGGCTCAGCAGAGGCCACCCTCCATGCCCACTGTTAATGCCGCTGTCATACTCATTACCAGGGACTCTGGAGCCAGACCGCCTGGGTTTAAACACCAGCCACTCATCACCAGCTGAGACCCTCGTTCTGAACCTGTGACTCAGGGTCTTCATCACAAAGGAAATATTTCAGAGTGTTGCTGTGAGGATTCACTACATAATGCACATGCAGAGCTCAGCGCTCTGTGCAGGTGCCACTGAATGACGGGAGCTGTTATTATTGCCATTTCCCAAACGCAGCACCTGGAATACCATCCAGCACTTTCCACAGCTAATTCCTACTCATCCTCCTAGTCATGGCTTAAGTGTGACCTCTTCCAGGAAAGCTTCTGTGAGGCCTCCCTCCCCAGTGCTTGGGTAGCGGACTTCTGTGATCCTAGTGCCCTGATATCTCCCCACCCCTCAGCTTTCATTGATCTGTGCTTACCCCTCCCCCCAATTCAAGTTGAACCAATGAATGGATTCAGCTCTGCTACTAATCCGCGACTTCCCAGCAAGTTGCTGGATCCCTCTCCTGTTTAAAGGGAATGATAATATTTAGTTCTGCAGACATCTCTGGTGTGCGAGTGCAGGAGGGATCCCCAGAACCTGGGATTCTCCACCCTGGCGGCCTCCGGAAGGGAGATAATCTGTGGCCCTGCGGGAGAAGGGTCCAACCTGGAGGAGTGAAACCTCCAGAGGGCCAGGCCCTTACCAGTTCCTTTCCCAAGCCTGCAGCCCCCACTTCTGCCCAGGGCAATCAGTCCCGCCCCCTTCTAGCACCAAGCACAAAGGTCCTGCCCAGCGCATCTGTCGCCTTCCAAACCCCGCAGTCCCGCCCTCCCGCCGCTCACCTGGCTGCCTTGCGGCCTCTCCGACCCGACGTCGCGCACCGGCTCGTGCTCCCGCTCGGGCTCGGAGCCGTCGTGCGTCTTGTCGGCGGCCCCC